ATGCGCAGGCGGAATGGCTGGGGCGGGCAGACGGGCCCTGGGTGCCCGGACGGCGGGTGGGGGAGAGGGAGGAAGAGGCCTTGGGCAATTGTTGCAAAGGTAGTAGTTGTTAACTTGCGTTGAGCAGGCGACCATGTGTTACCATTTGTAGCATGTCCAGCAGCGTATGGAATATTGCGTTTTGTTTATGGTTTTGTTACAAACTGCGCATATCCAGATTTGAGGCCCAGGGTTGGGATTTATTACGGCCATAAAAAGAAGGATCCAGAGCAGGCTGGCCGGGAGAGACCGCTCCGGTGGAGAAAACCCCGCGCGGCGGGATGGGGCAGGGAGGGGTTCCACAATGGTTTGCTGGGCGTCGATAGACGGCCCAGTCGGCTCCACCACGAGAAGGCCGTTGCACCAGAGCAACGGTCCAAAACCATCGCTTAACTTAATCATCTATTAATTTATTTACCACTTGAAATCAGCAAATACAAGTATACTTCAAGTATTCCTATTATATTAACAGACTTATTTAAAAGTCTCAAACCATAATATTCTTTCTACACAAACAGTTCATCACTATTTGGCAGAGCAAGGTCAACTATCAACTTTATACGTTTTTCGATGTTCTCACTGGGTGACGTGCACTCTCTCTTTGGATCTTAACATTTTCCCACCAGACGGCCCAGACCTAGTGTTTTGGCAATAGTATGGCGCGCAATAGTATGACGTCGCTATTTCAACCATCAACGAATGCGTGGAACTAAGACAAAGCTTAATATAAAGGAAAAAAGTTGAGAAGTGTCAGAATTACCCACAATGTCGGAATATACCTCGTTTACCCTAATACATATTCCCAAGTAATGTACCCTAATACATATTCCAAGTGTGCAAGCAAGTATGGCTTGCACAGGACTGACAGGAGCTTTTGTCTTGTCTCAGTTGTCTATGGAGTATGGACTCTGTGGAGTGTGGCAGGCATGGATTATATCTTATTTCTAAGTTGTAAATAGAGCTCTCTCACCATTTTTGATTTTTTGGAGCCATGAGATTCCCACTAGATAAATTATCTTCAATCTACCTAATTGTTAGAGAAATTAGGAAAGTGTATGATTGTGCTGCAAATTGCACGGTTCTTGAAATTGTTCACTCTTAATGGGTGAGATTTTAGTATCGAGTAGGAAAAATTTCAATCTAAATTCACGGGTTGCTTCTTCTTGATTTTCTAGTTTGAAACTGAACTGCCATTTTTTAGGAAGATGTAATTATTCAAAGTCTTCACTTTTCATTTTTCACTATAGCACAGACTGACAGAGGTTAGTACCAGTGTACCACACTACCACTGTTAGTACAGTGAAAGCATCACCTAGATAAGGGGAGCCAGGCATAAAACATATCTACTTGGTGAGCCATGACTGGATTTTTTGAGCCATGGTATTATGGATTTACCAGCCATGATTCCATTTCTTCAAGCCATGAATTCCATATCTCAGCCATCATTGGCCATGAAGAGACATTTACAAGCGCAAACTTATTTACAAAGTCCTGGGCTTGTGTTCCCCAAATCTCTAATTTTACCCTAAAACAGTCAAATAGCAGCAATAACCTTTGTCTTTACTTTAGTGGCAACTGAACACACGATAATGCAATTGAATTTGAATGCAGATTGCAGTCTGACCTAACTGCTCTGATGTGAATGTGATCTACAACAAAACATTTTAGTTCACTCATTATCCTTACACAGTACTTCAATGCTAATGCCAAAATATCCTGTCGAACAGGATATTTTGGCATTAGCATTGAAGTACTGCGGATTGCAAAAGTACTAATATAAACAACATTAGAGCCGCAAGATTTCATACCTACTGAAATTATATGATATTAGAGCCACAATATTTCAGAAAAAAATGGGGCTTTTCCCTGCCTGAGAGGAGCTAGCTGTGGGTGTGGGGTTAAGCCTTAGGAAGCTCTGCTCATTTTTTGCTTCACTGGTGGTCAGAGCTTGGTAGCTGTCAATGTGTTGGTGCTTTCAGGTTTCATCAAATGAACTATGGGTAGGTACTTATTACCATGACAATGACTTGATTTAGGCAGAAGAAGGGTAACAGAGTTTAAAGGCATCAAATGCGTAGACCCAAATATGCCCAGGATTGTCATTGGCCATGCTTATAAATAGTTACTATTTACTATAAATATTGCCCAGGGGCATGATCAATGAGGATTATCATGCATTCCAATCAGGGCATGGATATCAATCAGAATGGGTCAATGGGTGGTAGACACTGATCCAAAATATGTTGTGAAAATATGTTGTTGTATCAGGAACTTGACATGGGTGCCAATTATAGGTCTAAACGCTTGATAGTCTTCAAAGATGTTGTATCTCAATTTGAAAATCCCTAATTTGCTGCCTGGTTATTGATAGTACTCTTTCTGCTTGGTCAAGTCATGGTATAAGTCATTGGCTTAAAATCAATTGTCCTCTTGATTTTAAAGCAATTTTCTATAACAGATACATCAATGACACCTTTCTAATTTTCAAACATCCCTCTCATGTCAAACCATTTTTTAATTATGTAAACTCACAACATAATTCTATCAAATTTACGATGGAGCTTGAATCTAACAATAGTTTGTCCTTCCTTGATTGCAATGTTACCAAATCTAATGGCTGTTTTCTGACTTACGTGTACCATAAACGGACATTTACTGACCTACCAGTTTCTTTAGTTTTTGTTTATTCCGTTTCAAGTTGAATGGGCTTCAAACATTGTTATACAGAGGTTTTTGCATTTGTTCTACATTCCATGCTATGCACGCTGAATTTGAATTTTTACGCAATAGTTTCTCATTTGATGGAATTCTGGCAAGTTTGGTGATTACCCAAACCAAAAAATTCATGTCAAAGCAATACAGTGAGGTTGCTCCTGAGTGCGATAGTGGGGAAGTTATTTATTGTTCTTTTCCATACTTTGGTGCTGCGGCTGAAGCTATGTCAAGAGAATTAAGTCTTCAATAGATACTTTCCAAAATGTTAATCTTCATATTGTGCTGGTAAACAATTTCATAATTTGCTCTTTCTTTAGATATAAAGACATGCTTCCAGTTCATATGCAATTGTCACTGGTTTATCAATATTGTTGTGGACAATGTGCATCTGTGTATGTCAGGATGACGGCACGCAATCTTCATTCCAAGGTCGCTGAGCATAAGGGCAGGAGTTGTAGAACCGGACAGATGCTATTGCTCCCCCTCATTTGGCTGTGTGCGCTCACGCCAAGCAGTCTGATGTCCCTGTTTCTGACAGTGACTTTTGGGTGTTAGCTTCCACCTCCGGTACTTCAGAATTGCATATTTTAGAAATTTATACATTTTTAAACTTGGGTCCAGTTTGAATTCAACTGTTAGTTCCTATCTCATTGAAATTGTGAATAGATAGTTTTTTGTGCTCTGTCAGTCATTTGTAATTTCAGGTTTTTAATTTCATTCTGTGCTGTCATTGTACTAATTTGTGACTTCTAATTTGTGATTCTAGATTCTACAAACTGACGATGGAGCTAGTCTCCAAAACATTTTCTATAAAGATATGAATTTTTGTGGACTATTATTTGCTTTTAAATTTTAGTTACTTTTTTATTAAAGAGCATCTGGGTCCGAAATTGGCAATTTTGGCTTTTCCGGTTTTTAGTCTCATCTTAAAGCTGACATTCTGACCAATCCAACTGTAGAGGGCTTAATTATACCCACGACACAACGGTACTGAAAACCATCTCTTTACATTGGTTTATGCGTTCACAACAGATTGCAAAAGAGTTAGGAGTGGTGGAGTTCTTTAACATTTAAGATATGGGGAAATTCCCCGCAGTGCAGTTAAATAGCCAGTGTGAACAGGCTGTGCGTCAGTAACCTGCCTGCAGTTGTGCGGGACGGTTCTTGTTCAGTCATTTGCACCATCCTTGACAGAAATTAAGTTCCAGCATCGTCTAGTCTTGCTTTCTTGCAACCTTGAAAGCCAATTCCGAGGCGCCTGGGACTTTGTCGCGCTCTACTGAACATTCACACTCATTGTCACTGCAAACCTATCTCCTCCTACAATTTTGAAGATACAACAATGAGACGTATACCGTTCCATTTGCAAAAGAAAGATCTACAATTCCTAGTATGCATTTTTTTTAAATTTCAATATAATTTGGATTTTATTCTGCAAAAAGGGAGGTGGCAGGGGAGTGCATCCTTGAAAGCCAATTCCAAGGCGCCCGGGACTTTGTCGTGCTGAACTGAACATTCACACTCATTGTCACTGCAAACCTATCTCCTACAATTTTGAAGATACAACAATATGACATATACTGTTCAATTTGCAAAAGAAAATCTACAATTACTAGTATGCATTTTTTAAATTTTTATATAGTTTGGTTTTTATTCTGCAAAAAGGGAGGTGGCAGGGGGGGGTTACTCAAAATGTACTAAAAAATCTAATGATATGTGTCTCAATGTTGTGGCTTAGAAGTCCTAGGAGGAGATAGATTACTATGGTACCCCCTTTTTGGCTGTTCTCTAGGAATTTCACATTTTCGTTCATATTTTGTAAAAATTTACACAAACAAAAAAGTCTTAGAATTCTGTATTACATATGTGTACCAAGTTTCAGAGTGATCTGTTGATAAATACCTGAGATAATTTTTTACCCAGATGCTCTCCTTGAACAAACAAGTGACATCAATCATTGAGTCCTATTGCAATCAATTGATCTGCATTTCATAGATTGGGATATATTTACTGATTTGGTTACTTGGACTTGGTTTATTAGACCTAAGATTCCTAGTTCAACTCAACAAACTTAGTGCTTATTGTAGTGAAGTTTAAATTTAACTTAGAAGTGAATTTATGTACCAATTACATCTTATGCTTACATTGTACTTGGTTAGTAGATGAGACTGTGAAGAATAAATTAATGAAAGACATTTTGATATTTCAATAAAAAATTTGACACAAATTGTCCATTTTTGTTTCAGAAGCTCATAAGATCAGTGCTTGTGGTGTGGATTAACTATCATAAGATCAGTGAAAGTGTGGATTAACTATCAATATGATTTCCTCGGGGACACGAGATGTAAGGCAAAGCCGAAAAGCATTGCGTCTCAGCTCCTGTTGTATGTTTGCATCCCTTTCCACTGGCTGTGCAATCATCAGCATCATTAGCATGGTATGATATAATTGATACTTCTTTCCTTCACTTGTTTATTGTTGTGCTGTCCAAAAATGAATTTTACAGCAATAAAATGTACTTTTCATGTATAATTTTAACAAATTTCATGTGAGCAACTTGTTTCAATTTTGTAACTTTGTTATGTTGTATGACCTTTATATTGAATAAAGAGCAAACTCTTATCCTGTTAGCAAACTATTCAAAATGTTCTATTGCAGACTTGAGCCAACAGTTCCAATGTTAGGCAATCACTAATTATATTCATTTCAAAACGAGCCATTCCTGTTTTAACCATCTATTCATTGTGTGAGTTTAATCAAGTACTGGAGATGCTTGGATATGTCATATCCTGAAAATTGTGTGCATAATTTCACATTCTCACATTTTACATTCATTTAAATTTATTTATGCTGTTTTTATTCCTATCACAAACTTTGATGTGTATCAATACTGTTGAGTAATTTCATCTTTCTTTTGAATTTTTATCTCTGATTAACTGATTATATGATTGATATGATAACTTTGAATACTGATTATAATTTGATGAACTTCCCTTTTCAGTGCGAGTCCCTCATGTACATCTTTGGTTTGTCAAGAGTGATTTACCACTGCACAAATGTGAGCAACATTGAAGAGAATGAGACAAAATCTTCAGAGTCAGATGATGATGATGAGGATTCCTGTCCCATCAGTCATGTCATTGACATGAATCAGTGTGAGTGTTCCATGCTGGGACCTTGGTCAGTAAGCATTATGCTCTGAATTGTTCATGCTACAACCATCAGAATTTCAGGCCAACATTTTGCTAAAAGTTTAGGTTCTACTTCTGCAGCTGTCGAGTGGTCATACCTTTATATCTATTGTATAATTGTATATTTATTATTTAGATCAAATCAGATTATCAAGTTTATATACATTACTCTTTACTCCTACAGTTATGAGTTAATGACTAATTAATACATTTTAAGGAATTTAATGGTAAATTGTGGATTAATTATAATGATTTATTAATTATCTTTAATGAAGGAATTTAATATTAACTCTGCCAAAAAATGCTGTTCTGTATTTAATTTTAAGTTTCCATAATTTCTAATCAGTTCATTCTATCTCTTAAAATGGTTTGGCCAGATTTTTTTTGCACAAGTGCATATTTAATATAAAATAATTAAAACTGTGTGAAGTTTCAATGTTGAGCTATATAGGTATCCTTGAGGTTTCCATGCAACGTCTCCCACTAATTTGTATACTAACTTTTTCAGTTCTGGCAGTGGCATCCTTCATGTTGTTTGTCATGATCATCTTCTTCTTGGTCTCTCTGCTTATGTATTTTGGAGTGAGAAATGTGAGTACAATTATTTATTGCGCAAGCCTTTTGCTGTTGAGATATTGTCAAAATAACATGTTGGAAATGATTAAAAACTCTGATCAAATTGCTTCTTGGCTATCAAAGTATGAGTATCATGACCTGAGATTGTCTCGACTCTGAATCATACCACAATATTTCACACTAGTGCGTAAACCCTGAATCAGATAACTGTCAGAAATTCTTTCAAAAAAAATTGTGCCATTCAATTATTGAGTCAATTATTTCTTAGGTAATGCCAATAAAGAGTTGTTTGAAGTAAACATTGAAGAACTGTTACCCATCTGGTATAATGTTTTTGTTGTATATTTCCCAAGCTTAGTATTTGATTTTGAGCAGTATTTAATGCCGACATTTTCCCCTACAGAGAAAGTACAAGCTGTTGTACCCATGGCTCTGGTGGAACATTGGAGAGATGATTGTCACCTTCTACTCCATCTCTCCCCGCCTCGGCCAGACTTTTTCCCCCTGGAGGGGAGTTATGATCCTCCTTATTGAAGTCTACTTCTGTGTTATTGTTTATTCACACATTGAGGAGGTCAGTTTTGCTTTTGTATTGGTTTTTCTTTGGACGAACATTCTTCAGTTAGATTTTGACACTTTATTTCTATATGCGCAATGATCCAGAATAGGAATTGCAATTAGCATTGATTCATCCTAATACATTTCAATTTCATGGATAAATTAAAATTCTAACTAACTATGGGTGAAATTATCAGACTCCCATTACTTTGAAGAAGATTCTTGCTGCATAACAGTTGGCTCAAGTAAGTTAGGTAAAGGCATTTTAGCATTATTTTATTACAGATTTATTCTAACAGATTTAAATTAGTCTGCTTGGCAATTTGACATAATCTTATTTTATTATAATTTATTTAGTTATGGTGAGCCTCATCTACTTTTTATTAAAATTTGCCTTACGACAAACAATGAAATGCACAGTAAAGTATTTGCTAGCTACTTAAATATGATATATGATGGTATGTCAGTTGTGCTTCTTATTCCTGCTCAGAGAATCCACGTGCTCCTTTAAAGTGCTCTAATTTATGGTAATTTGAGAACTTTTGTTATCAAAATGAGAAAACTGAAAGTTATGTTTCTCCCCATGCAGCTGAAAGAACCACCGGCATCCGATGACATAGTTGACGTTGTTTCATACGTGACTATGCGCAACGGTGGACTCTCTAACGTCCACCCACGGTCGTACGTCGTGCCTGGCTCCTCAAGACGGCCTTGTTCCTCAACACATCAACCAACACAACACGAAATGATCTATCCTGTGGACCTTGACAATAAAATGGACGGTGACACTAGGCGACTCTATGGAGACCAACCTCCCCCATACTCTCCTCCGCTGCCCTCAAATGGTGGGTCATTGCCTGAGAATGTCACCAGTGATTGCCTTGTCATGGTTGCCACAATAAATTTTAACCTTTCTTTGGACCAGCCCTGAAACTTCTGTGATAAGCTCTTGAATTTTTTTTTATGATGAGCAATGAGGATCTCGCAATTGGATCAGCTCACAGATGGTTGAATGTTCTCTCGAATCAGTGGTGAAGTCTTAAGCATTCCTGTATGGGAACTGCACTAAAAAATTAAAATTATAAGCTGAAAGTCAGAGACTATATTTCTTTCATGATAAAAAAATGAAGAATATCCATCAAATTTCAGTACCAAAGTTAGATAAGGATTTAAAGAAGTTTTTCTTTAATTCAGTTAAGAAAATTACGAAAGCAGGAAGTTCAATTCGATAACGAAACCGGGATTCTCAAGCCTCGAGTATTTTGTATCCCTAGCTTACACCAAGTTCACTTTTTTTATGAATATTGATCACAGTACATTTCTGGCCAGGTGTTGACGGTGCTGGGACAAACGCGACATCAGCCAGCTCACACCTGGAGATTCCGTCAACCCCTCCTCCATCTTACTATGAAGTCGCCGGTTCTTCAAACCTTACCCCCGCTGCATCTACCCAGCAGCAGTCACAAGCTCGTCCATTCATTTCTATGCAGTTCGATCCTGCTGGGCAGGCCTCAGCTCTCGGCGATGGTGCTGTCAACGTTAATTTGCCTCCGCGACAGACGTGAATGTTTCAAAATGTGACATTCCAATGTACATGATTCTTGTTCACCCCGATATGGCGGGATTGTTCATATTATTTCGTATGTTTTACTTCTGCTTTTTTTAGGCTTCACAAATTCATATGATGTAGAAAGTAAGATCCAGTAAAGCTTCCTGATTGTCAATTTCGGTGCACGTGACATCACTGCTGATGAGTCTATTAGTAATTAATGTACATTTAATAAGTAGACTTCGTATTCCAATCTGAAAGTTTTATCGTTTGACAACGGTTGCATTTTCATCATTCCGCTATTGGTTGCACTAGTATGTTCAATATATTTATTAATTTTCTGTGCATTCAGATACCAAGATATTATTTAGCCAATATGATTCAAATAATATTCCTTTTAACTTCATGTGAATCTTTACCATTAATTCATAAAGGAGACTTGGGCAGTAATAGTTTCTTATTTTATATACGAGTATTTTTAATGCTTCCAGAAAATGTACAATTTGGCTGTTTAATCGTTATTTACGGAAACGCCAATTGATAATTTATACCCGTTCACGTTACACAGCCGAAGTGTGCCGACGTTTCATAATCTATAACGAAATTTGCAGCAAAATATGTTTTCTTAGAGCTCATGTGTCGCACTTTGTGTTTCGGGATGTTCTCTTAATTTTGTTTGCATGAAAGAATCGCAGGGCATGCCGTCATCTCGCGGATGTGATCTTTTAAGTAACTATTTTGTAATGCGTTTGTATTAGTGAAGAATTGTATTGCTGGTTATAAAGTAACCAGCAGAGTATCTGTGCAAAAATTATTTATCTACAGCAGTGAAAAGACGTAGATGTAGTATATGTGACAATAAAGCAAGCAATTACTTGTCTCGACTTGTGAGCGACATGAGATGAAGAAAATAACATCTTCTTGTCAAAACACTTTGCTTTGATTTTTGGAATGATGTGGTGGCCGCGATGTAAGGTAATAGAATAATTTCTAATGGCGAGTAGGACATTTACTCCTGTCAATACAATTAGCGATGAAGCTCGCTTTCTGCTGATGCGAAGTTCAGTCGGGTGTGTTAGTCTATATGCACTGCAATTTTCTTAGCCATTCTTAAGTTTCAGTTTGTCATATACGTGGATGCTTAGTACTCTTTTGCTATGAGCCTCGTCTTGTTGCATTCAACTCTAATATGCATAAGAATTGTAGCCCAGAACTTCTTTATGCAATCACTCATCTAATGCGCCTGCTATGAATTTTCTATTTGTCGATTCACTCGTCGGTCATTCATTACCATCTTACTCGGTAGCTTTTAAGTAAAATGTTCCTTGCTGTTACATTTTTGGCATATTAATATTAAAGATAATATTATTAATATTTCCATGGTGCATGTTGATATTTTTTATCTTCCATGATGTGTATACTCTGTATTTGAATCGCTTTAAGAGATATATAGATACTATTGTTCTGATATTACGTGGAGATTAATACATAGAAAATATGCAATCACACTGGATACGCTTGGCGATCACCTCATGCTGTGTATTGTGTAATCATGCTAATCATAGCATTGAAGACATGACATGAGTCGTTGAGGATAACCAATTGCCTCCTAGATTATTATTCACTCTAGATTTCTATCTCCACGCATAAATGTTTAAGTGATCTTCAGCATAATCAATATCTTAGATTTATATGATTTCTTGTGTCCTCGTTGGGACGATCGTTCAAAATATTTGAATAGTGGTTCGTTGGTGTTTTTTTGTATCATTGTCTGCACAACTAAAGAATTCGGACGTGGTTTGAATTGATTTTTTGTCGGATCTTCCTGTGTAATTGGATCACACAAACCCGTTAAAAGTTATGGTCTTTCTTTAACTGTGCATGCACAATTCAAAAGTTTTATTTCAATGCTCAATATCCGTCGTTTTGTTGTCCTTATTTTTATTTCTGTATACCTGCTTGCTTGCATGAGTCGTCCTTGCCTAAAACCTTTTCTTAGTGGTTTAACTTTCTAGTGGAACTCAAGATCTTTAATTATCTTACGGAACCTGGGATAGATGCTCTTCAGATAAAATGTATCCGGATTGATTAGCGTTCGGAGAGTTTCCATGACTTGCTGCTCAGGATCACTGAACCAATAGGTATTCTTTCGCTTCCTACAAATCAATGCTGTAAGTAAAACGGTAAAACAAAACATGGGTAAATATATTTTAGAAAAATGCTGCGCTATTGTGTTACCTGATAATTTTTTGTGTGCAAATTTATTATGTAGTTTACTTCGCGCCTCTCCTTCAGGCGTGAAGTTTTTCTGAAGCTTCTTGGATTCCGAAATCCGTCGTGCATTACCGGAGTGAAGCAACATTGTTCCACAAGGATATAGTCAATCGCGTTTCATTGTTATCCTGCTTGTCAACAGAAGACTGGCTTGGGTGTTTAAGGACGACATTTTTACTTGGATGAATCTTCATTATTATTATCATTCTTAAATTTGCTCATTAATGTAAGAGCGTAGCTTGTTTAATCTTTCATAGATATTGATGGTTCCTGGAGAGCAACATTTTCACTGATGTTTTCTTTGTTTGGTTTTCTTTTGGCTTTCTTTTCATGATGGTTTGATTTTCCTCTGGCGCTATTTGTCACTTTTCGTTGAGTTACCGGGATAATTTTTCACGTGCACTGCACACATGGCCCATTGCATGCATGTTTATTGCTTGTTATATGCTTTTCTTCGGCCAAATCTGCTTCTTCCAATAATGGATTTATATATTAAATGTTCCTCAGCGCAATGACATCCCTCGTTTCATTGCCCTTCGTTTGGTCAGTTATTGGAAGTTAGAATTACGGTACTAGTTACATGGACTTAACAGCGTCATGTTTTTTTTTAAATGATCAAAAAACCTGAAGATGGTCACATCTTATTTTTTGTTCTTTCCATTTAGACTGATTTTTAGTGTGTTAATGTTGAATCAATTAATGTATTTGAAAGTAAGCCAACAGATGTAATTAATTGTTGAAATTTTCTCATTCAATCTGTGACCTACGGAGAGCATTGTCTTTTTCAATGCAAAGAAATGGCTCAAATCCAAGTTTTCTAATAATGTATCGGACTAAAAGAATCCTTGCGAAGTGCAGAAGTGAACGAAGTGGTCAGAGTGGTGAGTAGAAACAGAGGAATCGAGTTATTGGCAGAGATCGGTCTTGGAGGGGCTTCTTTCACAAGTCGGGAACTCGGTTCAAAAATAATAGATGGCCCAAGTGTTGAAGAATAGATGAACTAACTGCTCACTCCCATTCCTGTCGGTAATGAAAATCGGCGATGTTGAATCGATTCTTGAGGAATCTATTCAACAATACTATGCGGTCGGGTTCAAATTTGAGAGCGCCTCGAATAGCTTCTTGAAAATTGCTAACGGTAAACTTGATCTTTTCATTCTTGCTTCGTTAGAAGGCCAGTGGCTTATCCAAACAAAGAATGTGATCTTAATTAGGACCTCCATCTTGATTCTGCCCTGCTGCAGCTGAAAGGTCATTGTTCTTTGGTCCAAGCCATAAGTTGTGATTATTTTTATTTCGCAATCGCGGACTCCAGCTAGTCAGCTACAAAGATGACGAAATCTTGCGTGTTTAGATCCATGGAAAACGTTACCCTATGATATGAGATGTGCTCAGTTTGGCAGCGTTGAAACAATGGTACCAGTATTCATGGAGTCGTTCATTCCAGTGAACACGTTCTTTGCGCTCCTATGGTAGGAGTTAGGTTTCTCCTTGATTAAGATGTGCTCTCATTCGAACTCCAGTAATTTTTTATAGATTCGGTAAAATCTGATTTCTGACTTCCAAGATCGAAATTATTTTTCTTGTTATCAAACTTATTCATAGATAAGGTTTTTTACCTGTTCAAAAATTTTCTAGATTTTGTTATCTTTTTGGAATGACAGAAGCTTCGCAAATGACGGAAGAAAGTTTCCTTTTTTAAAACGCCTTTTATCTTTATTTAGTCAAATCAGGCGAAACGGAGGACGGACCCATAATTAGGTCTTAATTATGGACCCGTCATCCGACGGACATTAGGAGTAGCTATGAGTGTATGACCCATAATTGTGTTCCCAATTATGGGTCCTAATATAATAGCATTGTTAGCTGTGCTTATATGATAATCAACATGAACGATGGATAACCCAGGTCTGATATGGTCATTAAAAATTGAGCCAAAATAAATTATCCGTTAACTAGGTACTAATACATAACTAATGATCGAAGTTAGATGCTTGAATTTTACAGATGGCATCACATCGGTGGAGCTTTCAAATTTCAATCGTTTTGTTTATGCAGTCCTGTCAATTGCGTTGTAAATAAAGAAGAATTAGTTTTTAAACATTATGAATAGAATGTTCAATCAAAATGAACGAGTAAGAATCTAATTTTCGGAATGAATTAGGACCATGGGACGAAATTTTGATTCTGCAATCGCAACTTCACAAGCTACGACAACGCGCGCCGCGCGGTATTCACCTATCGTCAGTTAACATGAGCGAGTCGTGGTGGTAGGTGGCGCTGAATTCGGCTCGTCGCTGTGTGAGAGGTGGTGGTGCATGGTCATGGGATATCTAACAAAAGACAACCAGGGGATAATATTTTTGGAGTTCGCATTTGCCGTTTTTCTGTTTAAGCTACAATTGTAGGCAGTTTGTGCAAAGTTTAATTTAGTGATTTCCTGTTGGAATAAGGAGTGAACTAATATTTTTTACATCCTCCGTTCAATTAAAGAGCATATTGTTGTTGATTAAATTTAGTTTTGTCATCGCCTCACGTGCACGCAAAAGCCTTTCAATTGCTGCTATCGTGTTTCTTCAAACTAGTGCATTTACGGACGCGACAATATTGTGATGTAAGTGTCCAGAGATTAATTTTACACATGGTTGAATTAATTGAATTCAACCATGAATTTTACATGATGACATGATGATGATGTATGGACACAATTCGATAATTATTAATAAATTTTGAATGACAATTGATCAAATTTGGTGAGAAATTGGGCTCATTTTCCTATTTACAGTTTACATGTATAAAAAACTAATAAAAGTTGAGACCCAAGAAAGCTAAAAATTAAAAAAAAAATATAATGTCATGTGATCCATTGCGGTAAAAGGGTTGACGTTCCCCATGAAAGTTTTTGGCTACGATTCATCAGAATTTCTATACAAAATACGTTTCTGGCGCAAAAATACATCAAAATTTCTCTCAAAAACCTCGCCTGCTTGTATGGCGTTTGAAGGGCCTAGCATCCTTCCCTGGATTAGCATCGAAGAACTCGAATTCTTACATCGCATTAGATGTATTAGGGTGCGATGTATATTTTCCTGGCATAATTTAGGTTTAATATCATAATTTGCCTTGCCGAGCGTACCAAATACGGTAGGCGATTTGTACCTGTATTCAGGCATAAATTATTTAAAATTATGGAATTTCTTTGATCGGCTCAGCCGAAAGAGTGTAATTCTACATAACAAGGAATTTTTAACCTTTCAATAGGAATTATTAACTTTGAGTCTTCAAAAGTTTGGTTTTAGTTTAGCAGTTTATTTTAAAACGTGTATTGGTTTGTAATGTAATGAAGCCTTCGACATTTGCGACGTGATCCAGAAGAAACGTGATCTCGGTTCATAACTTCTGTGCATTAACTAACAATCCTTTCTCCTTCTGATATTGAACTTTTGTTACGGATCATATCTTCCGAAGGGGAATATTTTCTCGTGTGAAGAAATACTCGTGAGAAGTTTCCCGACATTTCATATGTGGTTTGTTTCATATCTAAAGCTGTTATCGTTCCTTCGTGCTCCTGTCACACGCGCGACCTTTTCCTTTCTATTGCTTGAACGCTTTTTGATGAACGCTTTTTGATGAACTCATTTTGATGAACGCTTTTTGATGAAACCTTTGTACCGTAACGTGACTTCTAACATTACCAGTTTATGTTTATTATCTCTATAGTCTATACAATATATTGTTAATTATTTCAACTTCATTCAATTTTGAAGACTTTTTCCAAGTACTGGTTCATTCCGAATTTTCGAGTATAGTGTGTAGAATTGTGCGCCCATCCGCGCTCACTGAAACTTTTCGATAACTAATACGTACATCCAGCGTGAAAAAATTTGTAGCGTATTCAAGAGAATCTTATCGACATCGTGACGGCAGTTTTTGATTGGCTGGTCGTGAAGAACTTCGTGTCACAGCTCTGAATTTAGAACAATGAGTCGGGACTAACCGGACGTTCAGTTCACGCGCATTTCGGTTGTCGCTGATGGTTCTTTTTTCGATGCGATTGCTGGATTCCAGTCGCTTTTTTTGCATCATGTTTTGCCAAGGGTGAGCATCAGGATTGCCAAAAAATCTAAACGCAAATAAATCGCATCGTTTGACGAGAAATGCAGTTTATATTAAAGGAGATAGTACAGTCGTCCATTTATTAAGTTGATTTTGTTTTATTTACACTTTTTTGAGTGAAAGTTGCTTCAAAATACTCTTTTGTATTTTTATCGTAGGTTGATATTTGGATGTTTTTCATGCCGGAACTCTATTTCTAATTTTAACGATTATAATCATCAGATATATGATGCTTGGTTTGTTTTACGGTATGGTTTAATTTTCATCGGGTTGTTGTGTTAATTGCAATCTTCTATTTATTACCAGAAACGTTCAGTTCAATTATAAAGACTGCAGTTGTCGAACTTTCAGTTGAACTTATTGTTTGAAAAACTCTCAAAACCCTAATGTTCTCAATGTTGAATATCTGTGAAATCGAATTTATGTGAGATAGCTGACAGTTTAACTTACAGTGCATAATATGTCATTAAAGATAAATCGAGTTAAATGTTTCAGTTTGTGAAATGAGTGTTTTAGGTGTGTTTTCTCTTTCGTTCGAGTAACGGCTCGTCATTGAAGTTCCCCTCAAACTAAATGTATGCTTGTAAGACGTTTGGAATTCAGTATATTAAACCGTGCAGGATGAGATTTTCGGCCTTTGCGTTCACTCGCTCACCATCTCTGGTAAGTACCGATTTAAGTGAAAAAGTTTCAACTTTGTAAGTAATATTGTACCAGAGAGATAAAGAAAAAATCTAATTTTATTTTATTGCCGATTTTTAAATGGAAGTTATTATTATAGTACGATTTTTTGTTTAGATTAGGTCAGAGAACATTATTGAATCACATTTTAAATTTGCATTCGAGCTCTCAACTCAGATGATTAGAGTACGAGTTCTTCTAGGTGGCTAGATAAAAAGTTTTTTCACAGTATAGATATTTTTCTCAGTTTCAATTGAATTCAGAACGCTTCAATTCCGTACTCGCATTGAAGTAGAAATATTCCCGGATTGATACAAAATTTATATATTTGAGAATCACTTCTAGTCTATTTAATTTATTCGTAAATTTTTTCTAAATTAGTTCAAATTAGTAAAGTTAGTTCAAGGCCTCGTATGAGGTGCAACATTATCACAGCAGTTCTACAAGTTAAAAAATTTATAAAATTGGGTTTGTTAAGCAGCCCGTAGCCGCGACGACTAATTATACAAAGCTACGGTCATTCCTTACTCAGATTCTTAACTTCCCAATTTACTATTTCTTCATGTTCGCCAAAAACGCTGGTAAATATAAATGTGTGGCGAGCGCACGGAATGAATGAATTGAGTTCATTATTCGTTTAGCAAGTCATTCATCATTTACATAGTATCATTTGAATCAACATATGTTCTAGCACAGTTAGTTGCACCAACCGAAACGTTT